CTTAAAATTAGTAGTTATCAAAATTCAGATTCAGAATAACAACTAACATATAGATTTAACAATTGTCAGTCAACCCTTTAAAACCCTAATTGTAAATGTAAGAACATGAAAATAATGTATTTTTGAAACAAAAACTGCAATTAATCTTGAAGATAACGACAACAATAATAACAACAAAATTTACTTATCAAAGTATCATCACTATACACCAAAAACCTCAAAGAATCTCATAAAATTTACAAATAAATAAACAAAAATCTTAGTAAATAAGGCATGAGCAATAAGCTAACAATGAGGGTTTATTCACAAAAATACAAACATCAAAACAAATAAAATGGATTTAATACACATATCAAACATACAAAATCTTCCATGAAAACATGATCTAAATCACAAGCCCTTGCAAAATTCCATGATCAAATGTGAGGTAGAGAGCCTTTCATCCTATTAACCATGCATATCGTTATACACTTATAGATTCTATTGCATAAACTAATTGGCCGAAAATGCGCTACCAGCTCCGAACAATCTACTTTTGGGGTAGCATGACTAAGAAAGAAGCGTGAAATTGCTTTAACAAAAAAAACCAGTTCTAAAGAAATGGCGCATTTCATCAACCACTAGGCTCCTTACTGATTCCCAATGTACATGGAAGAATTTAGTGATGATCCCATCCGGCCTCGGCGACTTTAAATGATGAATGGAAAACATAACTTTCCGAATTTCTTGACCTGTAATTAAGGTTTCCACATCCACCTCAGCAAGGTGTGTAAAATCCATTTCTCGAAATAGATGATCAATATCATTCTCATCTAGACTACTAGCAACAAATCTCGGAATATAGACTTTTTTTAAGTGAATATTGGATTAGGGAGGCGATGTTATCATGGCCACTAACCCAATCCCCATCATCATTTTTTAGAGTAACGATCTCCTTTTGCTTTTGCCGGTGCTTGACTCTATTAAACAAATTCGAAGAAAGCGGCTCATAGATTGAAGACATGTTCGGCACCGGTTCTAAATTTCACTCCCACTAAATGAGTTAACTGGAGACACAGAGGAGTTTGGTGGATCAAATTATGTCACCGATATCATCAGAAAAGCGGCTCATAGATTGAAGACATGTTCGGCACCGGTTCTAGATAAACCCGAGAAGAAGCATACCCATTGCGTAGAGAATGAACAAGTTGTCTTCCTGCCTTAATTATATTTGTTCAAAACATTAGGAAAAATTGTTAAATAAGGAGATAATCAATTTACCCTAGGCTGCAACGGGGATGCCACCAGCCACTAATTCGGAGGTGTAATAACCTCTGTTGCATTAGCCATAATAATTCCTTGATTAGGAATATCCTACAGAAGACCTGTTTGCACCGAGTCACTCAGTTGAGTAAAGGGATTGGTAGCCCATTCTTATATGCCCAAAGTCTGGAAAAGAGTAGGCCCCATTTGATTCTTGACGCCTAGCCGCGTTTGAGGATTTCCCAACCTCATAAGTAGAGTTCATAAAACTCAGCCTTGGTGATGTGGAAGGTCCGTATCCTACAAAGCCATATAAAATCTGGACGAGGAATGATTTGGGCTCCACCTTTGAGGTCGGCTGTCACACCATTAGAAATTCATTTTTCTTAAAATACCTATTTTGCTCTCTTTAAAATACGAAATAGGAACATATAAGACATTAGTGCCACTGTGATAATGTCTAAGATAATTATCAAAGACACACACCGGAAGACTCACTTTAAAACCATTCAAAATAAGTTAACTTAAAAAGTTAAACCAAAAACGAAATTAAAGTCAAACCAACCTTTGTGTTAGTCTCAAAAGCAAATATATAATAATCAAAGCGAATAAAACACATCATATTCTTATGGAAACTAAACAGGAATTTCTCTTCACTCATTCCCATCATGAGTATTCTTCATCACCTGAAAGCTTCTCTTTAGTTTGTCCCTCTTACTACTCGCCATTTGAAATGGATCGTCGTAGGGCCAAGATAAAGACAAGTCCAAAAAACAAACAAACACATAATCAACAAAGCTAAGTTTATACGCGTAAACAATACACACTAACATGCTTTTATCCGATCCTATCAACACACATAACTTACCTTATTGCACATGTTTACAAGCATACAACATACAACATACAACATATCAACCAATAGTAAAATGGTTCGTTTATTCAATTTGATTACGCATCCAACGAGGTTCCCCCCTTAACCTACCCCAATAAAGGGGTATTAACACGGGAGCTAAATGTGCTAGTATAAAAGAACCACTCGTAAGTGGTGGAATTTCTGTGCATAAAAGAAAGGAAAATACAGCCTGTACTCCCAGTAAAAGTTATGGTCAAATATAAAGTCGCATAACTCCCCTCATATGTTCATACTCAAGGTATATACGTTCCAAGAGTTTTAGTGCGTAATCTCATTCACTTTACATTGTTTACATATTTTTAGACATGGTGATGATTCTCAAACCATAACACAAACCATCATAATAACCATTCAAGCAATCAAACGTGCTAGTTAAATTCTTGTATAATTAGTGACCACGTAAATTTAATGTTGAACCCTTTTTAAAACTACCTCGGCGTTAAATAACACCATAAGAGCATAGTGCACCACAAATCATATTTTGTATAAAAACATTAATTTCAATAGTTTTAATCAACTACAATCTAATTCCTTCAATAAGCATTAGAAAACTAGGGTTTTAATTTGGGGTTTTTAAATTCAAAAACTAAATATGAAAATTATATACATATAAATCATAATAAAACATCATAAAATTAAATCATCACACGAGCAAAACAATAATTAATCAAGGTTGGATTTAATTTAAACATGAAGGAGAGTTATTTTTTTTGTTGGGCTGCGCACACACACCACGGCAAGGCTGTCGCCGCAACGCCCACCAGTGCTACTGCTACTGGTGGTGGCCGGCCGGTGGGTGGCTGGGAAGGGGAAAAATTAAGGAGAAAGAAAAATAAGAGGAGAGATAGAGTTTACCTTTGGGTATTCTCCACCTTGGACAAAGTTCAATTTGCTCATATGATGGGTATTTATACCTTCTCCCAAAACCCTTCTAACTTAAATTCCTTTTTTTTTTTTACCCTTAATGATTCCTATTCCTAATCAAAATAGTCATTGACTTTCTTTAAAATTTCATTGACCTTAAAACTTCCTTTTATAAATAGTATGCGCCAAAGTTTCTAAATAATAGAATAAAATATTTTCAAAGTGATTAAATAAATAGAATTGGACTTTTAATTAAAATAAACCTTTTTAAATTATTAAAATACCATAAATAATTCATTTCAAATTATTTAAATACTTCATAAAATAATGTTTTAAATAGAAATACGTATAAAATATGGCCATTACACCGGCCCAAAGACAGGGTTGGTATACCCGCCCCCTGCTGCTCCATTAGTTCAGCTTCAGAACGTCAAGCACGCAGGGTGGAACTGGGCGTATGGGTCCTAAGTAAACCCCTAACGTCGTCCCAAAGATAGTGATAGCTTCGGCGCAACATCCACCTTCCCATGATTGTCAAAAACATCATCCAAGTCATCATCTCGCGAATAAAAACACCCTAATATCATTTGACAATGATGGTCAAATCGTGACACTGATATACTATTATCACGTTGGTGCCGTAGCTCCGCATATAAGTCTTTCGACTCCTCTAAACGTCGAAGATTGACCAACCTTGGGGAGATATATACATTTAGCTGTCTATTGAGGTGGAGATGGAATTTGAGAGCTCTATGAAGAAATAAGGCGTCTTAAAGGCTGGAAATTAAGGAGTGAAATTGGGGAGAAATAATTATGATTTTGGAGGAAATAGATTAGAGAGACTATATAGTTTATAGTACTATGGATCAAATCATGCTTCTCAAATACATATATCTAGCCTTTAAAAATAAAAAATAAATACATATATCGAATATTGTAAACAATATTCAAATAATGCGAAATGTAATTACGATTGGACTTCTGTATTACGATTTAAAATCAGGCATATCCGATAATATTTTAGATAAAAAAAAACCAACATTCAATGTTTAATCTCTGGATGAATTGAAATTAATACCTTTACAAAGTTAGATTTTTGATTGGAATTGAAAGGTTTAGATTCAAATTAACCGATTTTTTTTACATATATATAATAATCTAACGTTATTTTTAAACTACTTGGATTTAACAACGTAGAAAACCCATTTATCCAACAAACTAAACCGTTTTTAATACTTCCTAGAGCATATTTCGAGATGGTAGACTAATGTAATGTTTTTGTAATTTTTTTTTGCACTAGAGTAGCACGCGCGCGCTACGCGAGCGATGCTAATTTGAAGTTCGAGGTGTTTTTCTAATTTGAGGTGTGGCAATATGGGCGGTTGTCTATTTAGTTTTGCAAGTATGTTATGAGTTTGAATTGAATTTAATGTAGGAATTTTGAAATGACAAATGTTAATGATCTTTTTGATGGATCTTATAAAATAATTTAGTTTTTACCATATGTTTTTAAATAAAGGTATTAGATTGTATTTCAATTTGCATGTGACTTTGAATGGATAATTTGATTAGTCTGGTGATGTTAATAATCAATGTATGATGACTTAATTAAAGAGCTTATGGGCTAATAATCAAGATAATGTTGGAATGGTAAGGATAGCCAAATTAGTTTGCTGTTAAATGGATTTTAAAACCCAAGCAAGAAGTGTGCTAGGTTAGATAGTATAATGTTAGTGATGATGCTAACATGGGAGTAAATGAGTGATAATGAGGTGCTTTATTTTGTTTCTTGTCATGATAAACAAATAGCGCTATATAAGCACATCTATTTCTTTTACCCCTCAAAAGCTATTGTGTATAGAAAGATTTACGTACTTATTACTTTAAGGGACCAAAGTATCATAAGAAAAGGAGCTAAATTGAAATAATAAGCAGTTAAATTAACACAATAAGTTAAAGAACATAGTGCTTCATAAAGAGTCATCAGGTTTTAAATACATGTAATTTCCGAATCCATGCAATGGAGTAAGCAAACAAAAGAGGCATTGTTTGTAGGCCTAACTGTAAACAAATTCAAGCTGTTCTATATGACCAACAACATCAAAAGAAGATATAAGTTCAAAGCTAAAGAGACAATGCTTGGCAAATTGCTTGAGTAGTAAATATGGTTAAGGGCAATCAAGAATGCCTCAAATAAGAACACATCCAAAATGATAAGCTGGAGTTATCGCGGATGATGTGTTCTGATTGGAAGCTGTAGATTGGGATAGCAGATTTTCAAGGGCAAGTAACTGATTGGACAACCCATCGCAGCACCCCTGCCCTGTTCAGTGCCTGAGCTGGGTGGATTATGACATGCATTGGTGTGGATTGTAGAGATTCAGCAACTTGATCAAAATCGGTCTAGTCATCCTGAGAACAAAAATAGTGGTGTTATGTCTAGGATAGTGAGGTATATGTTGTAATTTTATTTAAACTTTATGCTAGGATTGAGTGTGGACCTTAATCTTTCTTTCAAAAATTTTAGCCGTTGTTAGATTGAATATTTGTTCACATACTAGACCAAAGGCAGTAAGGCAGAAAGTTCCGGTGTCATATGCAGCATCAAAGGTAAAGTTGATCCTGCATTTGAAGCATGAATTGATGTTAATTGACATTAGTATTTTGCAAGTTGGTTGTACAATATTAGAATTGAAAGCGAACCTTTCGGTGGAGCTGCATTTTTTTCAGGGCAATGAGGGCAGAAGAATGACACATTTGCAGCAACATCACAACACCGTCCACAGTTATCGCACCCGATGTAAGCAATAATATTGGTTAGCTGTGCATCTGGAATTGTGATTGCAAGTGTGTATGTTTCTTCTTGGACAGTGTTGTCAACCTAAATGAAGCTTTGTTAGTATACAAGAATAGGTAGGCAGTAGAGAGATATGTGTTTGAATGCGCTCACATTTTTGCCAATGATTTGATCAAGTGTGGTTGGGATCGATTCAACACCAACAGTCATGAATTCGAGTTGCCTTGCCATGTAATCAGCAATAATGTCTGGATGCGCATGGGCCCTAATGACATATACAAAAGAAGACATAGCTGATTAATCACAGAAGCTTAAATTAAGCTTGGTGTAGGTGCAGTAAATGTGAGTGTGTATTGGTGTAAATGTTTTTTAGCAATAGAGCTAATGGATTACCAAGCTTTTAAAGCATTAGCTTTTTCACTAGTGGGGGTTGGATCAATTGTTGTGGACATGCTTGATTGTAGTGAAAAACCTGTGGAAATTTGCATAAGAATACTTGGATCTTATAGTATCTATACAGTGGCAAAGGGTGAGAAAAGTGTACCTCTGTGGCTAGCAGGTTTCAATGAAGTTAAGCTAACAACCAAGAAAGTAGATGTCCAGTCGTCTTTGAGTTTCTCACAGTCAGAAAGAGCTAATTGTCCCCATGCAGAGATGATTAGTGGGCGAGAACCAGTGCTGTAAAAGAAATTGTAAGTCAGTATATGTAGGGTGTGATTATATTGAGGGTAGCATTTTGGAGTTTTAAAAGGGTTGTAGTAACCTCTCATCAATTATGATGATGTCTCGCACATCGGCTACTCTGCCTGATTTGTATTCCACTTGCCGGATATCTTCCATGTGGACTACTATTCCAAGCAAATCTATTAGATAATTAAGAAATAGGCAGATTACTTTTAAGAGGTGAATGTGTTTTCAATAGTGATATTTAGTTTAGATAAGGTTAAGAGGATACCAAACCGGTGTGATGGTCCACTTGTCCTTGGTACATCAGCTATAGAGATATATTCATGCAAAACAGGTCCCTCTGTTCGATCAATAGCTTGAATTTTAGTCATTCCTCCGAATGTTAATTTGCATTCTCCTGGGAATGAACTAAACTTTGGGTTAATTGTTCGCACTGGAGCATTAGCTATCTCGTACTTTTTCTTATGTTCAAAGACTTTTTTGAAGTGGTCACATTCATCTCCAAACAAAGTAGCTTTCATGTTGTTACCCTGCATCATGGAAAAGGAGAAGTCATGTATTGGATTGGTAAGATACAAATAACTATGAAATAATCAGAGTGGTTAGTTTGGACCTCCTCATCTTCAAAAACTTCAAAAACCAATTTTTGAAATCTTTTTTTGTTCGGAGGAGCTCGGATAGGAGACTTTTCTTTCAAATTGACACGTACTTTGTATGCCTTGCTTATAGGTGACAGTTTGTTCAAAGGCGTGTATTCAAGTTTCATCTATAGCATACAGATGCAATTAGTTTTGTGATTTGAACTGAAATTAGATAACAACAAATCTGGTGTAGTTCTATGCAGTGTTAGTGAACATTACATATCTGCATAACTGTAATATTATATGGTATACATGCATTAATTATTAAATCAAATAAAATATAAGAAGGAATTTGTAATGATGTGACTTGTAATAATAAATTTTGTTGAGTGCTATGCAGTGCTGAAGCACATAGTAGAGTACTGTATGAGTTCCTAAATATTTATAATTAGTGCATGGTTTTATCCCCTAGACAAAGAAGTGCTACCTAGGTATGTATAAAAGGAAGGTGAGGCTTCCAAATTTTTACAAATCATTTTTGCATTTACCATTCTCATTTCTATCTCTATTTTTTCTATTCAAGGTCAGAGCAATGGCAAGTAAGGGGAAAGATAAGGTGGATCATAGTAGTGGATATGGGATTCCTAATCAGTCTAACTATGAAGCAATGGAGGAACAACTGAGTTCCTTAGAGAAAAAGGTGGAAGATTTAGAGGCTGTGGTATCTCTTTGAGCATGAAGATAAGCAAGCCAGCCCAAAGGAATAGACACCAAAAGAGGGAACCAGTAACTACAACCCTCAACCTATTCTTAAGTGCAGTGACATCCATCACCACTCCAGTCCTTCATATTCTCCTGAAAGTGATGCTTCCTATGGTGGTTATTTTTAAAGGAAAGCTTAAGTTTTAGCAAGGCAATTGTGGTCTAATCTTAGTTGTGTTTCTATGTATTAGGAGGATTATGTTGTTTTAGTAATAAAAGTGTCTATTACTTCTAGTTGTGTGTAGTTCATTGTTAATTATTAAGTTGTACTCAATGTTTCTTTCTACATTGTTGTAAGTGGTGTAGTGTGGTTTTAATGAAAGCTTATATTTCTTGTTATGGTTACTTTGTGTTCATGTTTATTGTGAGCCTTGTTTAGTAAGAACTAAATAATTATTTTATTACGTGGCATTTAATTATAGGAAGTTTGGAGCTGATGAATGCCATATTAAATTAACCTTAATAATAATTATTTTGTGACTTTTTTAGATATTGTTGAAGTATTCCAAAACTCTATATAGAATTTATCATCTGACTATATGTTATAATTTTATTATATGGTGGCTTTGCAGCCATAAGCACATAAGAATTAGTTTGGGATTTCAGTTTTTCATCTTCACTTCTTTAGTATTATAGCTAACTTAGTATTGTCACATTTGTATTTACTAACTAATCTTTTTGTTATAAAAACAGTCACTTCATTAAAAGCATAATTCTGGCTATTTGGTTAGATTCTAATTTTTACTATCTATAAGTTGAATTTGTCAATCTGACTTTGTATAAGTTTTCTATGTTCCTCATATAATCACATGTCATTTGTATATTCAATATTTTATTTATTAATTATATGCTTACATGTATTGCTATTGTTTACATGTGAACTAATGACTGATGTAAGATGATTGGAGGTCAAGAAGGATTAGAATTTCCTATATCAAGTACTGTTGTAAGGTAGTTATATGGTATGATACAATGCAAAGCAAGCAAATAGGCCCTTAATAGCAGCATGTTTATATATACATGTATTTAGGTTAACAGAAGGGCATATGGAAAGCAACAAAGATAACTTAATTTAATGTAAGTAAATAAATGAGAAGGAATCAAGTTAATGCACAGGTAGATGTTAAGTTCAGAAGAGCATCATTAAAGTACTTACCTTGTTGAAGTGGAATTCCAGGCAGGTATTCACGGCTATAGCAGAGCAAATCAGCAGAGAATAGAAGCAAGTAAATGTTCCCTGGAACTGTAACCAACTTAAATAGCAAATAGGCTATTAACAAGTTAAAGATGAATGATTTGTAAAATTTAGTGGATATTAGAATGGTTTGGTATAGTCTATTGTCCATTGAATAAGAAGATGTATTAAGTTCTTTTTATCAAGGAATCTGCAATAATAATAGGTATGCAAATAAAAGATGAAGTGATGGAAGTCAATCTTTATTTACTGCTTAAATACTTTAAGTGATAAGAGTATGGTAATTATTTAACATGTGAAAAGGTGCATTTGACTTTAATTGTTTTTTTTAACTGAAACATGGTAATGTCCAGTGGTTAATACGCTGTATGTAGTAAAATAAACTAAAGCAGCATGTTCATGTGGATAATAGGGTGATCAACTAGTGATCTAGTTTAACTATAAAAGAAAAGATGTTATGTAAATATAAAATAGTAGAAGCCTTTTTTTAAAAATCAATTTTGTGGTCCATATAGAAAACCTAGGATTTAACTATTATTTATTGTTCTTGTGATGCTTGATAGGTGTAGCAAGAAAAGAAACATAGGTATAATTATAGGTATCTAGAAAAAAGCATTTTATTTTTAGCTTTTGTGTGACATGGTTTGATAAATCAAGAAAGTTATATAACTAAGTGTAGGCGTCGTTCGAAGTGCGCCTACGTTAAAGCATGTGGTGAATATGCTTGACACTCTTAGGAAGTGGGAATTGACATATTCGATTAGGGACAAGGAAAGTAGGGAGCCGCCAACAAGTTTTTAAGGAACTTGTAAACTGTTCACGGATCATAAAAGGCAACCACGATTAAGGGACAACGATAGGCAACAACAATTGACCCGTGAAAGTTACACCCCATTCATAATCCATGAGATTACTAACTCCATATGGTTCGGAACCACGAAAGGAGGATCGGGGAAGATGGTATGAAGTGAGTCATGGAGTCACATTCGCCCGTATTGGCCTCTACTCGATTCTTATAGTGAAAAGTGATTCCTGCGATCTCAAAGGCATACAAACAAAAATTCAATTTGCTCCAAACTATTATTATGCTAAATTGGCTTAATATTAATGCAACACATTACTCTAAATATTGTGATCAATTGATTAAACAACAAGATTAAAAAGGATCCTAAACCGGTCGTCCAAATTATCTTATTAGGCGTGATTTTCAATTACATATTCCCTTTAAACATGCAATATGGTGATCATAAAAATAATAGAATTACCATTAATATTGGAAGCAATCTAACCATAATAAAGTTATTCAAATCAAATAATAATAATAACCCTAATCATGATACTAGCAATATAAAATAATAAGAGTAATTAAGTGAAATAATTACTCACGTTTCGCGTTTCCTTGAATTGCTACATCATGAATAAACTGTTAGTAACTTCAATAAAAAATATAAAGCAAATGAAAAATAAATTAAATAAAGGTAGATTTGATTTGGTCCAAACCCTCAGTTAATTATACCTTTCACGCCTTGGTTTAAGTATAAAACTTTGGGCATTGTATGGACTCCTTGGAGTGCTTAAGGAAGAAATGATAGAATAGGGAGGCTAGTGTTTAGGATAAAGAGGGAGAAAAGAATTATTTGATGATCAAACTTGTTGATGATTGAAAAAGGGGTGATATGACCTCTATTTATAGAGATAAAAGAAGGGTCGAAAAAACAAGATAAGATCGAGTTCGAATCGGATTAAAACTCTTGCGATAGACAACAGTTTTTGCGGTTATTGTTTTTATCATATCTTTTGATCCAAAAATCGGATAAAGATAAATAAGATATCGTTGGAAAGATCTTGAAGTCTACTTTCTAACACAATTGGAATCAGATTAAAATATTTTGTATAACAAAAGATATAGCCGAAATAGTGAGACGGTGTTAGTTTTGGATAGAGTTTGACATTTTATTCATATCTTTTCCGTTATAGCTCGGAATTGATATTATAATATATCATTGGAAAGATAATTTCAAGGGCTATCCAATCATATAAAATTCAGATAAAAAAAAAAGACACGAAATTCATATATGTCTATCTTTGAACGTCTTTCAATTCGGATAGAATTAGGACTTTAAAAAAAAAGGAGTATTATTCAATTTCAAACTCTTTAATCTTATCTTTTCAAAAATGAATAATTAAGATCTTTTAGAAACTTATAGAAGCTACCAATTAATCCTAATTAGTTTAGGAACGAGATTAAATAATTTGGACCCTCCACATGATCATTGGGTCGTAGGTAAGGTGGGCTTAAGTTCGGTTTGGGCTCAGTTTAATATTTTGGGCATAACTTATTCGTTATAACTCAGATTTGAGCTTATAATATATCGTTGAAAAATCTTTTAAAGCCCCATCCAACTATTCAATCATTGGACCCAGATTATGGACCAAAATAAACTGGATGAAACGTTTTTATAAAAAGGACACGAAATGAATGATTTTAAAGGACACGAAATGAATTATTTTGGGTTTAAAGGCACGAAAAGAGGAAAATAAGTTATGGTTTGGGGAAATGAGATAGGAATTGGGTTGTTTTATGAAATGGAAATATGGATTTAAGCACTCCAAAAATTAAATACTCAACCCGACCAATAATGGCGGTGAAAGGTTGTTCATCATCGGGTTTGGTTTTGGGGAGACATTTTTAGGTGTCTACACTAAGTAAGAATGACTTGAAGCAAGGTATTGTTTAGCAGGTAATAAGGTGAATTTGTTTAGTTAATAAACGTTTTTTGGTGTTGGGGATAATAAAATGAAGGGGTATTATATATAATAGTCAAATAAGAATGATAAAGATTGCTTTTCAAGAAATAAGAATTTGTGAGCTATCTCAGGTATTACAGTAAAACATTGAAATTAGAAAGCTTATGATACTGATGCTATAATATTTTTTTTTCCCTTTTGTAATTTCATGAAATATACATGCTCACCTTAATATTTTAATAAGATGGCCATATGTATTACTGTATGAATATCACTCCAACACTTTGCTAAATTATTTATTTATTTAAAGCGGGTATGTTGTACCATGCTTTGTTAGTCAAGTAAATATGTTAAGCAGTAATTTGTAATAAGATGCAGATTACATGTAAGGCAAAAATGTGCAAGCAATGTTGCAACACCTTGAGAAGTAGCATTTAAATTAACAGGACAAAGTGTTAAAAAGCATTGCAACCCATTTTAATGATGTATATTTTACATATAATTGTAGAACAGATATTACAAAAAACTAATGTATACCAAAATGATGCTCCAAGGATTTAAAATAGTCAAATGGTCATTTTCTATTGTTAGAGGGAAAAAGTGGCATTGGTCCTGCATATTAGGATAATAAAAATGTAATTAGTAGAAAGAGAAAGGAGTTTGTTTCAATGAATAGGTATAGAAGCAGTATTAGAAATACCTGTATCAAATTGTATCATGTTATACCAGATAGTTGCAAGACATCAGAAGCTACTATGTTCTTCAGAACTGGTGTGCTGTAAATTTCAGCAGGCTGGGGTGTGATTACAGTCACCTTGTCTGACTTTTTGGCTCTTGATAATGCAACATACAATTGACCATGTGAAAAGCATGGTTGTGGGAGGTAAACCATAACCTGGCTTAATGTTTGTCCTTGAGATTTGTTGATAGTCATTGCAAAACTGAGCTTTAGAGGAAATTGTATTCCCTTAAACTGAATCAGATATTTTGTTGATGATGGAGGGCGGAGGTTAACACGATGGATGAATACAAGTTCTCCTTGACGATCGCCAGTGGCTATAGCACAAACAAAAACGTTTCTTCTAAAGTACTTGCATATGAGACGTGTGTCATTGCATAGGCCATCAGCTAGATCAACATTCCTAAGCAAGATCACTAGACTGTTAAATTTTAGAATAAGTTTGTGTGGTGTCATACCACCAGGGGCAAGCTGGTTCAAGAATTCAATTGGGTAAATTGCACAGTTATCATCTAGGATACTGTCAAAACTTTTATAAATAACAGCTTCTCCTGGGAATTTGTCAATAAGATAATTGTTGATAGAGTCTACTACATCATTTAATGGTGTGATCCGAGGATTGCCCTTTCTGTGAAAATATCTGGTGAAAAGGTTGGATGTTGCAATTCAGGAAATGCAGTAGTAGCTAGAAAACGGATAGGTTCCTCGGCTTGTTGATAATAGCTCAAAATGTGAGGAGGTACCTCCACAAAAGCATTTTCAGATGACTAAAGTTGACGATCGCCCAAACTTAGCAGAAATGATGCATATGGGAGATCTGCTTTAGCTCTAATGTTTTTAGTCAGGTGTAGCTTTTGTAACCAAGGCCAAAATATGTGAATTAACCAGGCTTGTTGCTACAGCTTCTCTTTGAGTCTTGTGAGGAACAACTGGTAAAACCTACCTAAAATCTCCCCCAAAGACTATAACTTTAGCGCCAAATGGTTGATCTGGATCACAGAGATCACGAAGTAGGAGTTCAACAGATTCAATGTTTTCCTTTCGTGCCATTGAAGCTTCATCCCAGATAATCAGTGTTGTTTCTCAAGAGATGCTTCTGAATCAAGAGGAATTTTAAACCGCGAGTGTGCTGTCCTGCTAGAAGGTATTTTTGCTGCAGCTATTCCTGATGTTGCCGTTGGAAGCACAATCTTCCCTGCCAAGCGCACTTATGCATATAGAGCATTGTACAAAAAGGTCTTCCTAGTCCCTCCAGGGCCATCAACAAAGAAACAACCAGGCTTCTCTGCTTGAACATGAGAAATAATTTTGTCAAAGGCAATTTGCTGAGCGGAATTGAGTTTTCCCCTACAATCAATTGATTCTTGGGGAATAGGTGCATCCAAAGCATCAATAATATCCTTTGTTCTGTGTAGTTCTGCTGGCATCTCTTCTTGTAGATGTTCAAGCTGAAAATGAGCCAATGATTTGCCCATAGACTCTTAAGTGTCTCTCAATTGACTGTATTGTTAGTAACCTAACTTGGTTTACATTTTGTGGAAAGGTATGCCTAAAGTCATCAGATAAATCATTATAGAAGTGCTGCCATAGTGTATGTGGATTGCTCGGAGTACAGAAAACTAACACAGCTGCAAATAACCTGACATAAGGCTAATGGCATATGAATTTCTGCAGCTTCAGCCAAGCATGAATAAACAACATTGTCATCCTCAAAGAGCCCTCTTTTAATAGCTGCTTCATGAAAAGTGGCACATAGCACCCCATTCACAGTCCTGAGGTCAGAAAATGATTTAGGACTGCGTATGTTACTAAGAAGCAGCCACAAAAAAAGCGTTCTCCCTCTGCAGGTGTAACACATGCCAACCGACCTATGACCAGTTTCTTGTTTTTTCTTTGAAACCATGCCTTTACAGTGGCATCCCACTGCTATGATCAATGAATTCGTTGTAGAGATATCCTGTACCTTGAGGTGAGGCTGCATTTGATTTGAAGAATTCCGTTAGTTGAGTTCTGGATCTTTGTTCATTTAACACTGCAGAATCTAGCTGCTCATGACTCCTTAGCTGAAGTGTTTGCATGTTTTCCAAGTGCACTGCAAGGTGCTGCACAGGAGGGTGCATCTCAAATAAATCAAAGCCAAAAATCCTCCAAGTTGCCTCGCATAGTGAAACCCATCAACCAGACTAGAACCTTTCAATTTCATCTATGGGCTAATTTTCTTCACCAACAACATTAAAAGATAATCTGTCATGCCCTTTATAAACATATTTGAATAAGTATTTCACAGCTTGAATAGATGAGCAGACTTCTACATTGAGGTGATAGTCAAACAAATGCGGAAAGGTACGGGTTGTATGGAATAACCCAAAGGTTATCAAGGTTCGAACCTCGAATTCGGACACTTTCTCCTGTATCTCGTCTTCTATACATTGGATATCCATCATCATGGTTTGTTGTTTCTTGTAAGAACTGTTTAGGGTAGCCATATTTACATGAGACAGAGCTATTATTTTTGGTAACCATACATGCACATTCAGGATTTGCTACTCCACAAGGGCCATGCATCATATGGCGAACTATTATTTTCCGTAGGTCTGGGGAGCTGTGGGGTGGTAGCTCAGCAGATACAAAGCGATCAAAATCCGAAGATGTTTTCAATTTGTAATTAGGCTTTAGGATAATAAGGAAATGTGCATGAGGAAGACCTCTTTTTTGGAATTCGATGACATATATCATAGCAGCCACTTTCCCAAAGATATGCTTCTTCATGATTTGTTTTTTGAGACAGATTAAATTTGATCGAAATATACGAGCAACAATATCTGGCCGGTTTTGAGCTGCTTCTCCAGGAGCTAGCTCTGCCTTGATCTCTGGCCAGTTTACATTACAAGTGATTGTGAGAAACAAATCAGGCTTACCAAAGCGTTGAACTAAAGCCATGGCATTCAAGTACCGCCGCTTCATGTCTCGTGGGCCACCGATATGCACTGTCAAAGACGTAATGGGGTTTGTTTGCTACTGTCCTTCACTGTTCTTGGCCAAAACCTGACCCAGCCACAATCACCATGTGGGAATAAGAGTGGATACTGCAAAGGATCATAGCATCCATAATTATGGTATATGCGATGAGACTTTGTTGACTTTCCTCTGACGGTGATGTATGGGCCGTTGGACTCGCTTGATGAAGTATTGTCAGGCCAAATCGCAGCCACCTCATCTGTTGTGGGTGCATTATAAACTCGTTGGTATATAACGCTACATTTATTGATAGTAATTTGTGTATCTTCTTGAATGTCAATTTCTTTTAATGATCTGAAAAGGTGAGCATAAGGATTCTGAGTAGTTACCTCCATAAGTATGTCTATAATATCTTGCCTGACTTGTTTAAAGTAATCTGTTCTAGCAGTTGATTCAAAATGGCCATCATAAAAATAGAGCTGTAAATATCTAGGGCCTTGTTCATCAGGGATTAAATCAGGCGAGTTATTGTAGATTTGTCCATGCAATTTAAAAACATATATTCCTTTATGTATGCTACCATCATATTTGCCACCTAATGAGCTAAATGCAAATAAGTTGTTATATAATCGAATGTATTATCTAAAGTGTAATGCATCTTCCTCATTAGATGTTAAAATTCTATATAGTGCAGGGGGATATTCATTAGTGGCTAGTTTAACAGATACATTTCCACAGCAGAAATGGAGTGATTCATGCTCGAATTTTTTTGCACTGCAGTGTGGACAAATGGAAGGGGATTTCAGTTTCAAAGGTGTGGTAGGCAATTTTAAGCTAACTACAGCAGCTGGAGGTTCTATTATTAAACCAAGGATGCCAGCCCAATTCATCAGCATGTTATATTGCACAAAATAAGTACAATAAAATAGTAAAAATATGTGAAGAAAAACTTACTGGTCTTTTTTACTGTATACTGTTTGACCACCTTTTTTTTGAGAAGCTACAATAGTTATTTCTGTGACATGAAAATTACATGTTCAGGTATAGTAGAATTAAATATAATTTGGTAACTAAATAGGTCTAATGTAATCAGGTATGACATAGTGATTAACTCAACCGGTCTCATATAATTGAGCAGGTTTTTTCTTTTAATGCTTCTATAAAAGTTGTGGTTGGAAAGGGAGCATTTATTAATCTACAAGTCTTACACATTGTATATTACCTACAATATATTAGGCTTGTTTAGCTCAACTTCATATTGCTGCATCTATTTTTTTTTATATATATGAAAGTTTCATTATATCCTTTTCCATTATTAGTTTACAATTGATCATGGCAGAAAATGAGAACATGTTTCCTAACCATTTTTCTGTGTCTCAGAAACGTAACATGCAATCTAAGCTGCAGTATCTTCAACTTAGAGAAGCTAATTTACAAGGCTAATTAGCAGATGCAAGAGCAATTCATTTTGATGTGGGAAAGAGAATTGTGAAGATAGAAAAGGAGTTGGCTGAAGTGTCCATTGAAATTGAAGAAATGCAAATCTGTAATGAAGGGAAAAAAAAACTAAGAAGAATAATGAAGATATACCTGATGATAGTGTAGTCATGAAATCTGATGTTGCTAAGGATCAGGCGGCACTCAAGCACAATGAGGATGCTGAGAAGATTAAAAGTGAAAAGGGCAAAGACAATGTGATCTCAGATAACACCTACTGGTTTTGGTGATAGGTTAAGGTGCTTTAAATGGTTAGGCTGCTAGCTAACAACATGTAAATGGCTACATTTATTGTAAAGCTAAATCTCTCAAACTTATGGAATGCAAATCTATTTTTATGCAATTAGTTTACTATTTCAGTGACAAATATACATGGCCTTTAATCTGCTTTCAAATGAAAAACAAAAAACTTAAAAGAACAAGGCTTGATTAAAGAAAGGCTTACTTTTGTTTTTTGCCTTTGTTTTTTTCAATCCTTGGTTTCTGCTACTACCCTGTGCACTTGTTTCGCCTATTTCTCTGTATAGCCAAAGGAAAAACAGCACAATGCCAAAATCAGCAGAAATACATAAACATAGCAAGGCATGTGTTCCCATGGAAAACAAAAAGTAAAAGCACCTCACTGATACAGGTGCTTGTTCCATAGCTGCAATTGTTCGCTTGCGCTTGCTAGACCTTGAATTCTCAGGAAGTTTCCTATACAACATACACCGGTCTAAGGGAGTGCTACTAATATTCGTTCGTACAGCTTGTGCTATGTTGGGTGCACCTGAATCAGCAACCAAAAGTTATGGACCTGTAAATGAAAAGTGTGCCATTCAAATGCAAGGCTAAATAATCCAACCAAGAATGAACTTGGTACCCATGTTATTCAAACAGATGCAGCTTGCATAGCTGTTTTAGTTTGTTTCGCTTCTAACTTCAGTCAGTGAATTTTGTTGAAATAATCTGCATTAGAATTAAAATATATACAACTATGCTTACTATTAAATTGTGCTGCTGAATTTTCAACCACTGTGTTGGTAGCATTCTTTGTATAAGCGATTTCTGGCTCAATGTGTGCAACCTCTTGTTGCTGATGTGTGGCAGAACTTGCCTCATCCAGCTCCCTATATGTAAGGATAGGAAATTGTTTTTTAAAAAAAGTAATAAGAAAAACACATCAATCAAAAGCTATTCTGGACATGTGATAAGAATAATAGGCTAACACCTCATAAGAGCAGGGGTTTGAGACATAGCTTGTATCGCTTGTAAACGTTTGCTAACCCGAGTCTTCTGCAGAGTTTTTTTTTGGAAGTAAAGCACGATCTATATACTAACAAAGTAATTTTCTTAAAACAAACTGAAGATAACTGTAGCTTTATGATAAGGGCTAATTTATAAGTTGTTGCAAATAGCATAGTGAACAAATATAATGGGCAAAGGAACTCATAAGTACGCATGGTAGTAATATAAGTTGGGCTAATGACAGCAAAGAAGTTGCAAATAGGCGTTGCAGAGAGCCTTTTGATAAACGGAACAGTGTTATAGTACAATGCATTAGCAGCTAGTATAACCTGCCAAGGGAAAAATTGGACAATGATCAAATTGCAACAAATTAATGGCTAACCATGTTGTGCATATAAGAAAGCACACTTAAAAATATAGACAATACTTTTCGTAGAAAATGGGCAATGGCAAGAAAACAGTACTTCATTAATCAAAGCTCAAAAGGCTGGAATACATTATATTCTGGGAAAACACCTAGCATGTCTTGCCAATGGCAGTAACACATAAAGCAGTACAAAATAAACTGGAATACAAGCAGTACAATAAGCTAATATGCCATATCTAAGGCCCAACACAAACACAAGGAACTAAACATTTAAGCCAGCAAAACAAGTTCCTATGTGACTCCACTCTGACCACTAATCAAACTTCCTTCGCTTAAACAAGTTGTCCAACTCAGGGGGTACTGAAAATGGCTTTTGACTGAGGCGATCGCCAAAAGATGGCCTAGCTCTTGCCTTGTGAGGTGGAGGTGGAGGAAGAGTAGGTGTTAGAATCCTATGCGCAACAGACTTAGGTGTTATGCATCCATCTTCACCTAAAAAAGGAGCTAAGTGCAAAGCACCTTGAATCCCCAACACACGTTCTTTAGCTGCTAAGTAGCTTTCCCTAGCTAAGGAACACTTAATGCCAGCATAAAACCCATTGCCATATTTCAAATCCACTATGTCAAGATTGTATGCAGTGCGGAGAAAATCCACGGCCCTCTTAGCAGCTTCTTGCTTGGTAGCCTTGCAATCAGCACGGACAGCACTGAAAATGCACTCCATTCCAGTAGCAATTGAAGGAGCATAAATTGTAAGCCAGGAAATAAATTTAGCTGGTCCGAGCTTAAAAGTCTCAACTGGTGAAACACGTGCTTTAGTCTCTACAATTAGAGTGCGCAGAACATCCATGTAATCAATGCACACATATTTCTTGCAACGCTTTTGGTTTGGCACATCTGGCCACTTGACTGGCACTTTCCCTGCCTCCCTTTCCATTGACTCAAGTTCAATGCGTTTAATCTGATACAGAAATTCACAGCGCTGGAGCTTCTTAATTTTCTTAGAAGTCAAATCCCCAACTTGAATGTTGTATTCCATCCTAAGGGAACGAAAAACATTTTCAGCAGCTCTCTCACGCAATTCTCCAACTTTCTTAGCTGGACCACCTTCATACACATAGAAGCCCAAACTTGGGTCAGTCTCCGGGACAAGTTTCACAGCATTTTTTCTCGTGTCAACCAAGTAGTAAGCCGGTTGAGGGATTTTCAGATACTCAACAACTTGCTGAAGAAGGCAGGAAAAAGAAATAGAGACTTTTCGAGTTTCAGGCCCAGCCACCTGTGTGCATACCCATAACATAAGAAAGGTGCTTATGTAGCTAACACTGGTTTAAGGGCAACTAATCGCTTGAACTACAGGTGTAAGGAAGTGAAACATATGTTGTGGGAAGACACAGACAAATGCTAGACTAAATCTATGGCACACGACAAAGCTATCTAAATAGCACATGCAATTACATCACAAATGAATAACAGCGTTGGTTATTAAGGCATGCAACACATAATCTTCAAATGTAACTATGCATCTAACAGAACACACCTCATCTAAAATGACAAAGTAGCCACCTTATATTAACAAATGTAAGCAGCTTACTAAGGCAGGCAACACATTACAAAACAGCAAATCAACCTAGCTGACCCTTCAAAAGGCCAGCCAAGTATACTATACAAAATAATCAAACCAACCTACTTAGGCATATAACACATGATATAGATAACACAACAAAGTCAGTAAATACTAACTAAAAGAAACCAAACCAACACAGAACAGAAACAGCAATGCAACATAGTTGAAAATAATGAACTACTTACAGCAGAGTCTGCACCTCCACCCATTGCAAGCTCATAACTCTGCATAGAAATGACAAAAACCAAAATAAATATTCAATACCTTCACCCAAAACTGATCCCTTTATTGCAATCACATTTGTATGATTTATTAGTAGCAAAAAGATCAAAACCAAAGCTTAAGCTAGCCCATGTAACCAATTCTAGATTTCATACTAACTCTAAACCAAACAAGACTTTAAAAGAGAGTATAAACAAAAAAAAAAATATCAGATTAATTAGCCAACCTTTAACAACACAAATGTAACTAAATCTTTACTTCATAATTGATATAGACTACATTTAAGAGTAACTGTTGTTGAGCAAATCACACCAAGTTTGTTAAGCCACCAATATGGTAAAATGTTGTCGGTACATAAGCCATTTAATCTAAACAAAAAGCAATTTAACCATGCCAAGTACAATTAAAGAATGTCATCAATTTGTGAAGTCAAAGAATGTCATGATTCTGAAGAAATCCTTGAAGCAAGTTCATATATGTTCTGTGTTCATGGTTAGTAATATTAAAGGATAGTTTTCCAAAGTTGTGTTGTTGTTACTATAGCAAAGATACTTATATCCAAATTCACTTTACCTCTAATGTAACCTCCATAGGACTGTGATGTGGTATGCGTTTTTATTTTTCAATGAGGAAGACTAGATGGACTGGCCTGTATTTATGCAAACACAAAACAGTAGAAGCTAAACACAGCAGGTAATTCAATGAGCCCTGTAAGTGCTTTAATAAAATCAATCTAATTACAAACCCAAAGAGTCTATTCTTATCAGTAAAGTTATCAATAAGCACATGGTATAGAAGAGGAAACGTTTATCCATTACTATGAAAAGTGATAGACCAATAGGTAATTAGGTTCATCATCCAAAATCCACTGGGTAAAGGACTGAGCTGCAAGCAGTATAAAGTAAGCAACTGTAAAAACTAAAAAGGTGTGTGAAAAGCCTAAGGCAAAAATAAAGCACAGTAATTATGACACCCAAAATAAAATGAATTAGCACTTAGCAACTCTATACAATCTAATTAATCCTACTTCCCAAAACTTGAGCAGAAGCTCAAAGAAGAGAAACACTCTTACACAGCATGCAAAACAATAGACCTACGAATAATTAAGCGGATCATCATAAGAAAAAAACAAACAATTTAGTCCTCCCAAATCTATGCTTCCAATGACTGAATTGCTGAAAATCCCACAAAGGTGCATAAGCTAAAATTACTTGCCTCCTTTTAATGTACTAATCACTGACATCGAACATAATAATCAGCTAAAATGTGCAATACTAATTTCTAAGGCCGAACTGAATAATACCTTAGAAGTGAGGACCAACAAAAGCACCATGAACATCTACTTAATGCATCTGCAATCAGAAACAATGGAGAATTAGACTTAAAAAATTATTCATGCAAATTGCAAATTGCAAATTAATGCATCTGCAATCAGAACTAATGGGAAATGAGCCTTTAATTCATGCAAATCGCAAAGCAGACTTTAATTCCTACATGTTCACCTTCTTAATTGCGATGCATAATTGCCCAGACATTAAGCAAAGATGAGTGCTTTAATTCCCCACTTTGTCATATTCATACACGTGGTCACCCACTCCTACACGTGGTCAATGATATGCCAATGATGCACATGGATTTTTTGAGGGTAAATCAGGAACACCACTGTAGATAAGGAATTCCAAGAACAAATACAGGGGTAATTTAGTCGGAACACTGTTTATAAGGAGTCCCATTTTTTTGAATGTCTTGGTGCTTTTATAGGTTAAGGATTTTTTTTTTAAAAAAGGTCACTTAGCTCAAAAAATATAGTTATACAATCTATACTTTATTATTATTATTTAGAATTTAAAAACATAAATCTAGTTGGGGTGAAAATTGTATACCTACATATAATACGTGCATTGCACGAGCCAAAAGGCAGTTATTTTAGAACTCAAAGGCAAGGAGTTCTAATCCGCCATGTGTCACTTTCTTTTCCTTATTTAGCCACATCATCAAATTGCCACGTCATCAAAACTTTCCACCCTATTGACAAGCGTCACTTAAGCAATTATATGTCAGTGTGATAACAATAACATTTTTTACCACTAACAATTCATTAATCATAAATTTAAATTACCTTGATTTACGCTAAATAATCAACGGTCTTAATGAATGACCCAAAATATAGTTGTAATTGACATTGTTCATAATCATAGATGGAGTAGTCAATTATTTAATCTCATACTCCATACTAATTAAGATTTTAACTATGTAGTAGCTAATTTTTAATTATTTTCATACTAATTAATAAGTTTGTAACTAACCAAGAATAAATCTGAAAATATATTCAACTTTTCACCTTCATACGGAGTACTATGATTCTTGGGGTTTTTTTTATACGTATCACCAATAACATCACTAATTCCAATCTCAATTAATTATTTCATTACTGTCACTAAACCCTTTTATATAAATCTTCCATTTCTATCGAATATTTCATTATTAATCACCCCTATATAGAATATGTTAGCCTCCACTATTAGGAGAGGGAGAGAGCATCAAGAGAACTATTAATATACTTTGTAGTATTTTGTGTGTGTGTTGTTATACATGGAGAGGAAGATTGCGTAGAGAACAATAAAAAGAGGGTCTAAACAATGCAAGAGTGAAAAGGTCAACAATTATCATCCATATACATCATGATGAGCAAGGGTATAGTAGTATGATATAATTGTTGTAAGGTGCAACTTTTAACCTCTTATTAAGAGTGAAGGACGGGGCCAACTATTGGCTTAACTTAATTTCATGGATCCAAAACAAATACTATATATCTCATCTCATTCTATAGTTCAACAATTCGCTTAATTCATTTTTACATAACACATGTAATGAAATGACTCGGGACAATGCCCGAGCCACCAATCAACTAGTTTTAATACAAATTGCAGATTGATGCAATCCTCCAAAATTAAATTCAAATTCAACTGGATTGAATTTTTTTGGGAAAGTGGACTTTATTTTTTCAAATCTCATTTTATTTTGAATCAATTTGAATTTGGTTCAAATCCAAAGTGAACAGAGTTAACATACACAATGTAAGGTACTAAAGTTTCACAAAAAGTTGCTAATGAGGTACCGTTGTTTGAGAAATTGCAAATAAGGTACTTGAACAAGTTACCTCGCAAATTAACCTTGCACAATTGGTAAAAGTTAGCAAAAAAAAAAAGGAAATTACAATTGTCTGTTACAATTACTGAGTTTGGCTAATTATATTTCCAAATATGTCTGTTATGCAGTAGCTACATTGCTTAGGGGTGAGCATGAATAAGATATCCGATTAGAAACTGGGTTTCGGTTCAGATATTTGTATCCAAAAATTCCTATATTTGATTTTTGCATCCGATCCGAAAATTCCTATATTTGATATCGACATTCGATCCAAAAATTCCTATACCTGATATTTGACCATAGCATTGTGTCAAAAAAACCATAAGCTAAGCGGTTTTAGAAGAGGTTTCCACCGTAAAAATAACCAACGGTCACCCAAGCAGTACCCCTTTTGCAACTTCTCAAACATCGATATCTAATTTGCAACTTTTGTGAAACTTCAATACCTTCTATTTATGTTAACTCAAAGTGAACACCAAAAAAGCCCTTATATCGAATAGAAGTACCAAATGCAGTATAAAATAACCTAAAAGCAGGTTTTATAAAATGACAATTAAACTCGCTAAGGACTATACTACCCTTTTATAAACCAACTTAATTTAATTTTCATTTTTCAAACATTAAAGTCCCTTTAGCTTCCCCATTGCTTGATTCTTATCACATACAGAGTACTCATGATTTTGATAACGCCGATCGGAAGATCAAAGATGTTGAATAAAAGCAATGAAAATCCAGGAAATATTTTCTTTGTGTTTTGGATTTGAGGTTGGAATTGTTAATTAATGAATGAGAATGACGTTATGCAAGGTCTTTATCAATGCAATATTAAAAGTTGAATATCTTAAAAATTATCAACCATGATGTGTTACTGCCATTATAATCTGAAAGTTTATAGGCACTAAAGGGCCTTGAAAATTCATGCCGGTAGGCAATGAAGAGGCCTGAAAACCATAGCCGGTAGTAAGAGGAAGGCCCCTGAAATTTTTTACGGTGTTCATTTAAAGTCCCGGAATGGTTTAGTGGTAGGATATCTATGACATCTAAAATTTAATATGGAGGGCGGGTTCAATTGTTGAATCATCATGTAATTGTCAACCTTGATAGTACAAAAATCATCATAATAAGGTTCATCATCATCCATATAATCGTGGATGAATGCTTAAACATTAAAACTTATGAGATATGATTTACAAGTTAAATGATATGGAATGTGATTAAATAGTTATTAAGGTAAAAGGTAGCAGCAGGTTAAAACAAGGGTAATTTTTTATTTTGAATAGAGAAAAGAAGGGTAATATTGGAAGTATAAAATTTGTTGTAAATTATAATATCCTGCATTTAAGTAAAATTATACCTAGCAAACAGGTCATACGGGTCGGGTTAATTCAGGTCGGGTCAAGTTCGGGTCAGCAAATATTCGGGTCGATTCGAGTTCCGGGTCAAATTCATGTCAAGTTCGGGCATGGTCAAGTTCGGGTCGTGTCTGTTCGGGTCAGGTCACTTCGGGTCGAGTCAATTCGGATCGGGTCTATTTGGGTCAAGTTTAATTTGTGTCGGGTCACCAAAATAAATTCACTTAAAAAATAGTTGGAAAAATAAAGTAAAGTTAAAAAAAATAAACAAATCGTGAGTACCTATTACTTAGGAACAAAGTATCGTCAGACGGAGAAGATAATAGCAACATGTGATCGTCAACTTCTTGCGATGAACAAATTTCCACCTTGTGACAAGTTGGCCTGGTGGTGGTTACGAAGAAGGAGAGGAGCGAGGTTAACCATGGTGGAAGAGAGAGAAAGTTCAATTGATTAAAATTCTCGAATTTTTCAAAAAATGCCAGAAAATCGAATAGGAGCTTTTTTATGTGATGTACTATGTATAATTGTTGAAATTGATTGTCTCATATGATTGTATGTTGATTTGTGAGCATTTTGATAACAAATACATGTATTTTGGTTGAGAAATGAGCAAATTATGTTATATCCATGACCTTAGTACGAGATCTTCAATGGAGATTCTGCCATTGTTATACATATTACGGAGTATCAAACAAAATATTCATATCATCAAACAAGTTATGCACATCCTCCATTGGCTTGATGATATCCTCTATTAGCTATATGATATTAGTGTTGGATGATATCCTCTGTTGGCTATATGATATTATTTATGATTGTGCCTATAAATCCTTTTTTGGCTAGATGATATCATCTATTATTGTCTATATATGATATCATTAGGGGTGAACATGGTTTGGTTTGGTGCGGTTCGTCCAAACCAAACCAAACCACAAAATACGGTTTGATAAATTTTTCAAACCAAACCAAACCGTAATAATACGGTTTGGTGCGGTTTGGTTTGCGGTTTATGATGAGATGATATTTTTTTCTCAAAAATTGTCAAATAATATTTCATTAATTTATAATAAAGTTTAAATAAGTAGCCCAAACGGATTAAATTGTACTACAAAGTTACAATAAAAATAACAATCAACTAATCAAGTGCTAATACATAATAAAAATAATACATAACAATAAAAATAAATCATATGGAGTACTACAAAGTTATATAGTCAATCCCAAAGTTATACAAAGTTAATATTTATTCTATAATTTTTTTTAATATATAATAAATAATTTTTTTATTTAAAAATGATAGAAATTTTAAAATACGGTTTATTGGTTTACGGTTTGGTTTGGTTCATAATTTTTGCAAAACCAAACCAAACCATAAACCATATTTACAAAAAAACGAGACCAAACCGTAATTTTATAAACCGTAAACCAAATCAAACCGCTAAAATACGGTTTGGTCTGGTTTGGTTACGGTCCAGACCAAACTGTGTACAACCCTAGATATCATATATCCAGCCAATAGAGGATATCATCGAGCTAGAAATATCATCCAACAAATAAAATGATATCATCATATAGCCAATAAATGATATCATTAAGCCAATAGAGGATATCCTCCATCTAATAAAGGATATCATCTAGCCATTGAAAATATCTTCCAGCCAAGAAAAGATATCATCCAATTAGTAGAGGATATCATCAAGCCAATAGAGGATATCATTCAGTCAGTAGAAATATCATCCAGCCAATAAAGGATATCATATAGCCAATAAAGGATATCATCCCGTTGAAGATATCACCCATCTGATAGAGGATATCATCGCACCAATTGAGGATATCAAAATCTGCATTTTGTCAGTCTGGACTGACGAAATGTGAAAGAAGCCCTAAACTAAGTAATTCACCATTTCACGGTGAGGGTTTAAACTAATTGAGGATATCATCCCACCAATTGAGGATATCAAAAGCTCGTTTATTGTAAAAGCT